CACGGTCCGACGGCCCCACGAGTTAATGGCCATCAGGATCCCCGTCCCGATCCATTAGCGGCTCCTTTAGGGCCGGGAATGGGGGAGGAACCGCGCCCGGGAGGGGGATTTACACGGATGAGCAGCGGCTCATCCAGCGGGAACTGTGCTAATTGTCCTGGATCGGCAGCTCCTGCTTTCCATGGATTTATAACCCTGACGGGCTCCCTTTTTCTCTGGACGGGGGGATTTCTGACCCCCAGGAGCTCCCACTTTCTATGGATAGGAATTCCCAACCCCAGAAAGCTCCTGGTTCCTCTGGACAGGGATCTCTGACCCCAAGAAGCTCCCGTTTTCCATGGATAGGGATTTCTGGCCTCAAGGAGCTCCCAACTTCCCCTGGATGGGGATTTCTGACCCTGGGAGGCTCCTGCTCTCCCCAGATGTGGATTTCCAACCCCAGGAGGTTCCTGGTTTCTCTGCATAAGGATCTCTGGCCCCGAGCAGCTCCTGCTTTCTCATGGATTTCTGAGCTGGGAAGCTCTGACTTTCCCTGGATGTGGATCTCTGACCTGGAGAAGCTCCTGTTTTCTCATGGATTTCCAACCCCAGGAAGTTCCTGATTTTTCTGGATGAGTATTTCTTGCCCTGGGATGCTCCTGTGTTCCCTGGACAGGGATTGCTGACCCCAAAGAGCTCCCACTTTTCATGGATAGGGATTTCTGACCCTGGGAACTTCCTGCTTTCTCAGGGATTTCTGACCTGGGAAGCTCCCACTTTTCCTGGATGGGGATTTCCTACCCCAAGGAGGTCCTGCTTTCTCTGGACAGGGATTTCTGGCCCTGGGACATGCCTGTATTCCCTGGACAGGGATTCCTGACCCCCAGGAGCTCCCACTTGCCCTGGAAGGGGATTTCCAGCCCTGGCTCTCCAAAGGATCCCGTGAAGCCCATGATTTAGACCCCTGGAAGTGCCCAGGGCCGTGGCTTGGGAGCTGCAGCTCCCATGGGTGGGGAAGGAGGTTCCCAGGAGCTCAGCTGAGGGAGACACAGATCCTGCTCCAGCAGCTGCTCCAGGGGCTCTGCCCTAGGGCAGCACCAGAGCCTTGGAAAAGGGACCAGCACCAGGCTCTGCCCATCCCCTCCCAAAAACATCCCTCCTGGGGGCTCCTCGGGGCTCAGGCTCATCCCAAAGGAGGATCCCGCTCCTCCCCCAGGGAAGCTGCTCCACCCCCCCCTCCCCTTGTGCCAGGAATGGATTTGTATCCCAGAGGAATTAGGATGAGGCTTCAGAGCCATGGCCTGTAGTGCTGGATGAGCTCAAGAGCTGGGGAGGGAATTCCCTAAGGGGGAGTTTGGGAGGAGCTGCCCTTCCCAGGGGTGGATGCCTGGGGGGTCTGGGCCCCCCCGAGCACCCCCAGAACTGCTGGAGCAGGAAGGACCCTCCTGCCAGCACGGGAATGTGGGAATGAGTGCTCAGCTTCCACCGTGGAGCCAGGGCAGCTCCTGCCCGGGGGAATTTCGGGATCCCAGCTTGGTGCACTTCACCTGGAGTGAAGGAATCCGCTTTAAGGGAATGGGGGAAGGCGGGTGCAGCTCCCAGCCCGGGCTGGCTGCTGGCAGGGGATCCCTAAAAATCCTACTGAAACGAGCACACCCCATTTCCCGGGATTTTCCCGGGATTTTCCCACTAGCAGGGCTGAAGCACACGCAGGGATGGGCCTCTGGAGCAGGGGGAGGCTGGAATCCAGGACAGGCCCAGAGGGCCACACGTCCCAGGAAGCAAAAAACCGCCAAAAAAAGGTGATGGGACAATACAAAGTGTTAAAAAAAAAATAAAGGAGGAAAAAAACAGGTACTTGAAGCTGGAGCAGATCCCGGCGCCGAGTCCAGCCGGGCTGTCCCCCTCTATCCCCTGGCACTCCCTGGAGCAGGGATTCAGTCTCTCTCCAGGCCTGTCAGTACTTCACACCCGGCACAAACTCCTTGGCATCTGGATTCAAGTTGCTTTTGCTCTGGAAGAGAAGAGGGAACAGGGATCCATCAGAGGCCGGGATTCCCCAGGGAGCTGCATTCCAGGGACCTGCACCCCAAATCCCTGCACTCTAAGGATGGACCTGCACCCCAAGGATGGACCTGCACCCCAAACCCCTGCACCCCAAATCCCTGCACTCCAAGGATGGACCTGCATCCCAAGGATGGACCTGCACCCCAAATCCCTGCACCTCAAATCCCTGCACCCCAAGGATGGACCTGCACCCCAAACCCCTGCACCCCAAATCCCTGCACTCCAAGGATGGACCTGCATCCCAAGGATGGACCTGCACCCCAAATCCCTGCACCTCAAATCCCTGCACCCCAAGGATGGACCTGCACCCCAAACCCCTGCACCCCAAATCCCTGCACTCCAAGGATGGACCTGCACCCAAACCCCTGCACCTCAAACCCCTGCACCCAAATCCTGACACCCCAAAGCCCCTCACACCCCAACCCCCACACCCCAAACCCCCACACCCCGCAGGATCCTCGTGGCCCCACAGGCCCGGGATGAGCCAGACCATCCCCCAGCTCCCAGGTCTCTGCTCCCAGGCTGGGTTTTGGGGGAACACAGGGACAGTCCGTGGGTTCAGTCTCCCTGTTCGTGCTGTGCACGTGGGAAAGCAGCAGCCCCATCCCAGGGAGCGACTCCAGGGACCCACGGAACGGTTGGGGCTGGAAGGGACCTCAGAGCCCACCCAGCCCCAGCCCTGCCACGGGCAGGGACACTTCCCACTGTCCCAGGTCGCTCCAAGCCCCACCCAGCCTGGCCCTGGATGGTCCAGGGGCACATCCCCTCACCAGAATGTCCTCGGAGCCGTGGCCGTCCCCCACCGAGAGCCCGTGGAGCTGCTGCTGCAGCTGCCCCACGCCCTGGGGCAGGTCCCGGGACGGGATGAACCAGTCCTGGTCCTCCTCCTCCAGCATCTCCTGGAAGCATCGATCGAGGAATTCCTGCTCCTGCAGCTCCTCCTCCACCTGCCCGGGGAGATTCCTTAGTCCTGGGGGGGGTGGAAGGGACATCCCGGGGGGGAAAGGACATCCCGGGGGGGAAAGGACATCCCGGGGGGTGGAAGGGACATCCCGGGGTTTTTCCTGGGTTTTTCCATAGGCTGGGCCCACCTGGGGAGGGTCTGCAGTGTCTGCCAGGCTCCGGCACAGCTCATGGATCACGGAATCACTTAGCATGGAAAAGCCCTCGGAGAGCACGGAGCTCCCCCAGCACTGCAGGGACACCCCTGGCCATGGCCCCGAGTGCCACATCCCCCCTCCCCTGGCAGCTGTGCCAGGGCTGCACAGCCCTTTCCATGAAGAAATTTTCCCCAAATCCAACCTGAGCCTCCCCTGGCACAGCCTGAGGCCGTTCCCTCTCCTCCTGTCCCTTGTTCCCTGGGAGCAGAGCCCGCCCCCCCCGGCTCCCCCCTCCTGTCAGGGGGTTGCAGAGCCAGAAGGTCCCCCCTGAGCCTCCTTTGCTCCAGGATTTCTCCCTCTCCTTGCTCCAAACTGGATGGCTGATGCCATCCCAGCGGGATTGCTGGGTGGATCCTCTCTGCTCTGGAGCAATCCCAGAGCTCTCCCAGCCCTTCCTGCTCCCTGCAGCTTTGTCACACCTGCAGGTGGTGACAGAGGGTGGCACTTGGCTCCCACGAGGGCTCCAGGGATGGCACTGCAGGAAACCTCCTCCCGAGGATCGGGAAAGCCCCTGGAGCTCCTGGAGCTGCTCAGGCAGGGCTGTGGGAGCAGAGGGAGGCAGGAGAGGGGCAGGATGGGGCTGGGGGTCCGTCCTTCCTGAACCATCAGCGGGTCACACTGACCAGCCAATCCCATCTCCCAGGCTGGTTCTCTCTGGATTCTCATGGAGTCCAAG